TGCAGCACACAAGTTCCAGATGTTAGTAAGTGCTGTCTAGATAAAATATGTTTGAAAAAGGCTGGATTAAACTATATTACACAAGTTTCCATAATGCTTGATTTCTGTAGAATGTTAGGTGTTAACGGGCCCTACTGATGTACACACACAGTAGAATGACTATATGAAGTTTCCCTCAAACATAATTGACTAAAGATTGATCGATGTGTGTTTGGTGTTTCAGCCATTAATTTTATTAAAATAGTGGTCCATTGTAAATATTACAAAAATCTAATAAAAGTGTCTGAAAACATTAAACACTTTAGTCCAGGAAAATATCATAACATAAAATGTTAGAAAAATCTAATTTGGTAGATTGATTTAAAAAAATGTGTTGCATGCGGCAACTGTGGTATCCCTAAAAACTACAATGAAGTCATTTTCTCCTGAATCAAGATTTTATTGGAAATGACTTGAATTTATCTGGCATTGAAGAAAATTGAAATAAAAAATGATGGACCTTAGAGGTAGCTTACATTATGGTTAAAAACATATTGATTAATTACATCATGAGTTTTGAAAAACATTAGAAAAAAAGCATCAAGAAACATCAATGGCATAACTGAGATACATTTCTTAGTGGCAAAAGGTGAGTTGCAATTGAGAAAGAGGACAAACAGCGTGTTGGATTTTAATCTACAGTGAAGATTTGCCAAACTGGTTCTGCATGATAATGTCTATTACCTGTGTAATTTGTGAATGAAGAGATAAGATAATTATACTTTGGAGGGATTTATGTCTTTGCTATATAGTGAGAATATGGCAGTGTAACTTTTTGTATCATATCACATCTTTGTCTTTTATTGGCTGCTCAGAGGAAGATTTGGGGGCCTGTGTAAGTAGCAGTTTTTGCAGGATGATGATGGTAGAATGTTTAGCCCTCTGTCCAGTGGCTGGTGAAAGGATTGAGTATTATGGACCAACTGCATATGGATCCCATACCCCTTAATCATTTATAAGTGCTATCATAAGCATCACTTTTGAGCAAGGGATTTCTACTTCATACAAATAATTATATATATATATATATATAATAATATATATATATATATATAATATTATATATATATTTTGACTACAGTTCAACAAATTATGCCCTATTGTATGGTTGCAAAAGAAAAAAATGGCTTAAATACAGAAAAATTTTCTCAGCATTCAGCAGCTACTAAATGCTGTATCTGGTTACTTAGAACACAAATGTTTTCTTATACATCATTCTGACTAAGCCCATTTTTTTTTTCATCTCCGTGACATGATCCCCAGAATACTTCTCAATTACTTCCTAATCTGGACTCCTGGAGTGGGAAGTTGACATGATCATCTCCTGTTCTAGAGCAAGAAAAATAGCTCTTGCAGCACTAATGTTAGTTATTCCCCCTAGAGGTTGTATTGACAAAAAAAAAAAAGTGGTCCTGGGGGAATGGACTAGTCAAGATGGGCAAACAGGTCAGAGTAGCTGAAGTACAGCAATGCTGATAAAGCACCTAGCTGGACAAAGTCAAGAATGCCAAAGGCAAAAACTCTGGCTCTGGGGTTACTGAGGGAGACACTGATGCCTTACTCAGGATATCTGTGCTTCCCTGAAGATCAGCTATCTGCTTTAGGATACACTGTGTATTTTATTTTTATTTTTTTCCCTTTATTTATTTTATTGCATTTTAGGTTTTGGGGTACATGTGAAGAACATGCAAGATTGTCTTCTTCTATGTCCATCTTCAGCGGCTTTCTTAACCTACAGGCAATCTCTAAGCTTGACAGACTGGAAACCCAGCTAAGCTGTAGCAGAGTGAGGCTGTCTGCACTTGAGGGCCCAGGTGTGCCTGAAGGAAGGCTTTGAGGTGAGAAAAACGGGTAAGAGATTACTACCTTACATATTGGAAGAATCCAGGAAGTTTAAGTAAATGCCAAATGTAGGAATGACTTCTAATCATGTGAAATCACTGCTCTAGAATAGGTCAGAGGTACAGATTTACATTCCTTCAAAGGAGTCAAACTATTCTCTTCAAACGTTGCTCAGAAAGCTCTGGGAAGGGACTCCCATTGTAAATTCACATCTAGGCACAGATAGCACCTAGAGTGGAAACCCATGTACTGAAATCCCTGTTCTCTCAAAATATTACTATCTGATACTAACTAAAAATTGTAATGTTAAAACTGATGAAGTTGATGTTGATAAAGTTGATGATGATTTGAGTCCTCTATGTCCCTTTTACATATAGCTTACACAGTTAACAATACTATGAGGGAAAAAAAGGAATTTTAATTTTTACTTTATGTCCACTAGTTTGTACAAGAGAATTCTTAAGAGAAGCACTGGGAGGTAACATCTTTACATGTGACAACTTGGGCACTCTAGACAACGCCTGCTTTTGTGTCACTGCTGTGTTTGATTGATATGCTTAAGCACATGGCTACTTCAGCATCTTAATTAACAGTTTGCTTCAGTGAAGTCCAAAGTACCTCCTAAATCTTAGATATTGTTCCGGGCACTTTATATATATTTGTTTGTATCTCTTAAGCATTACATTAAGTAATACAATTTCCCGTTTGTTTATAGTCAACGGGGTTTAGTAATCTGTCCAAAAGGTAGTAAATAACAGTTTTCTTCTGACTTTCTCTGAGTCTAGAGATATAGCCACTGAGAGTTGGCTGCCTGGGTCTGTATCAGGGAAGTCAGATTATGAATTCCCTAAGCCAGGAACCTTCATAAAAAGAAGTGGGAAAAAGTTATTGAAGAGGGAAGACATGGTGTGCCTAGGCAGGATGGAGATGCTGAAGACTACTGAAAAATTTGAGGGTGGGCATCAAGAAAAAAGGTAATTATGTGACAGTGCCAAAGTATTGACATAGTTAGTGTTCAGCAATGAAGCAGAACAGAAGTTTATAATATAAAAAGCAGGGAAAGTGAAGGAGGTATATAAAGACCATCAGTTTCTATAATTAGTATAGTATATAAATCACTAAATGTAGGATGAGAATATGCAAAATAATTCTCCTCTGTTCTTCGTTTTGTATCTGCCCCTAAAAAGTAACAGAATAGACAATTATCATCATCTCTATAGAATGAGGCAGAATTAGTTATTTTATAATTATTTCTATTAGGGATGAAATGGAATTGTGATTATATTTGTGGAGAAGGGTAGGTTGGAGAATGGACCATGTAAATTTTGGCAAAACTTTGAAATGAAATATGCTAAATCAACATGTTTTTGACATTTGGTGCCCAGAGTTACTGCAGTCAGGTGGCCATTATGATGCTAAGTAACAGATTTCTCGAGCTTCAGCTGTAATGCCTATCTTCTCCAGTTCATGGTGATATCTGTCTGTTTCATACAGCTCACCTGATATATTGTGGTAACTGAGCCCTGAGCACATAACTCTTTTATTCCCTTTCTATAACTTGGCATTGTGTTCTTTCTTTGTTTTTATAGAAAAATATATCATTATCTCTTTCACACAGGTCAAATTTATCATAACAAAACAGGAATTATCTGGCCCATTGGTTTCACCAAATTTCTAGGCAGGTATTTTGTTTCTTCAATAAATGACAGGAAAAAATTATCAAATAAATAAATCTATTCTGGATTTCTTTCTTTTTCTCACTCTTATCATATGATGAACCATGTTGTTGACGTTATTTGTTCTTCCCATGTAACTTTCATACCTATTTATTCTTCATAATACCCACTGTTAGAGTTCACTTTCATCCACTTCTTTTTTATGACTACAATAGTCTCCTAATTGATTTTCCTGCCTTCTCTCTTGTCAGCCTTTAGATCACTCTTGATATTGATTGTATTCTGACATAGATACATTATAATCTGGACAAGTTGTTTACTGTTACAATGAGTGCCTTGTGTCCTCTAAGATTACATCCAAGCTTCTTATACTTACACACAAGTTCCTTCAGAAATTCTGGTTCACTTCTATTTAACCTTAGCTTCAAGAACCATATGAAGAGCCATCTATCCTACAGCTTTGCTCAATTATAGTTTTTGACATTTGTAATACTCTCTAATACACTATTGTATTTACATGGATTTTAATAAGTACAGGAAGTACATCACAGCTTTTTTATCCCATCCACCTAGTACTTGTCATCTGAGACCTAATTTAAGACTCTCCCTCAATAAATCCTCCCCAACCTACCTGGATGAGGTTAGTTGTCTCTTCTGTGCTTTAAACCTTTTTTTTTTTTTTTTAATATCAACTTTATAATGTTAAACTAATACTTAATTTTAACTTAAGCTCTCTATCCACTAGTTTGTACATATTTGGTGGCATTTCTTATATATTTATCTTTTTTAGCAATACCAGATTCCCTTTAATAAAATATGTTCTCTGGTTCAGTGGTGTGCACCTGTAGTCCCAGCTACTTAGAAGGCCCAAGTGGGAGGATTGCTTGAGAACAGGAGTTCAATGCTAGTCTAGGCAACATAGCAAGATCCTATCTCCAAAATATGATCTCATAACCCCAGGACTCTGGGAGACAGAGGTGGGTGGATCACAAGGTGAAGAGATCGAGACCATCCTGGGCACCATGGTGAAACCCCGTCTCTATTAATAAATGCAAAAATTACCTGGGCGTCGCGGTGTGTGACTACAGTTCCAGCTACTCAGGAGGCTGAGGCAGGAGAAATGCTTGAACCTGGGTGGTGGAGGTTACAGTGAGCCGAGACTGCACAACCATCACTCAGCCTGATGACAGAGGACAGTGAGACTTTGTCTCAAATTAAAAAAAAAAAAAAAGGATTTCAACAAATGCACAGTGAAGAAAACTAAATTAATTGGTAAAATATTAAACATAGGTGGTGATTAAATATAATGAGCACAGACATGATTAAAAAAACATTAAACACAGAGCAGCATAAATTATTGTTTCTTATTACAATTTTGACTTTTACCCTAATTTTCCATATTCTTGTTTCCTCACCTGGACTCTAGGTTCATCCTTGAGCACAATGTCTGTCTTCAATAGTTCTGCCTTTTACCCTCGCTTCCTCCTAACAGGCCTCTCAGGCCTTGAAAGCAAATATGACTTGATTTCCCTCCCCATCTTCTTGGTTTATGCCACCTCGATTGCCGGGAACATTAGCATCCTCTTCATTATCAGAACCGAGTCTTCCCTGCACCAACCAATGTATTACTTTCTGTCAATGCTGGCATTCACTGACCTGGGCCTGTCTACCACTACCTTGCCTACCATGTTCAGTGTCTTCTGGTTCCATGCCCGGGAGATCTCCTTCAATGCTTGTCTGGTCCAAATGTACTTCATTCATGTTTTCTCAATTATTGAGTCAGCTGTACTCTTGGCTATGGCCTTTGATCGCTTTATAGCAATCGGAGAACCCTTGCGCTATGCAGCCATTCTAACCAATGATGTAATTATTGGGATTGGGTTGGCAATTGTTGGAAGGGCCTTGGCTCTGGTCTTTCCAGCTTCCTTCTTCTTGAAGAGGCTTCAGTATCATGATGTCAATATTTTGTCCTACCCTTTCTGCCTGCACCAGGACCTCATAAAGACAACTGTATCCAACCGTCGAGTCAGCAGCATCTATGGCCTCATGGTGGTTATCTGTTCCATGGGACTTGATTCAGTGCTTCTCCTCCTCTCCTATGTCCTCATCCTGAGCACAGTGTTGAGTATAGCCTCCAAGACAGAGAGAGTGAGAGCCCTCAATACTTGCATCTCTCACATCTGTGCTGTACTCACCTTCTATACGCCAATGATCGGGTTATCTATGATCCGTCGCTATGGACAGAATGCTTCCCCAATTGTCCACGTGCTCATGGCCAATGTTTACTTGCTAGTTCCACCTCTCATGAACCCCATTGTCTACAGTGTTAAGACAAAGCAGATTCGTGACAGAATCCTGAAGAAATTCAAGAAAGATGAAGTGTAGATGACAGAGATTCTGAAACATATCTTTCCCTCATTCTCTTAATATTTATGAGAACACTTAATGTAGTGTAGGATTTTGAATTCATGTTACCAATGATATTTTGACTTTAAGATACTGTATGTAAACCTTGATAATAGTTAATCTGTATATTTTCAATACAGAGAATAAAGCTGTAGTTACATTTTACAGTGAAGATATGCATTACACACTGTGAGGGTCCTCAATATATCAGAGTAAGATTTAGATTTCAAAAGTTTTCCCATACTCTTTAACTTAATTTAAAAAATGTTTAAATGCAAGTTTTTATCCTCTGTTCAGGGAAACAAAATATTTCTAGTAGGAGAACCTCATATCAAAAATGGACGATAAATAAATAAAACCTAGCAAACTTTTAGAAGTGTAGAAGAAAGAAAAGTTGGACCAAATTAATCAAATAAATTGGAATAAAGCAGAAACAGTGATGATGTATGTAGGAATCTACAGAGGGTTTTCTATTATGAGTAGAGACGCTATGAGATCCAGACTGCTGTCCATTTTCTTAAATCTGGGTTTTCAGTACATTTCTCAATTATTGGTGGCAGTCTCAAGTTGTTCTGCATCTTAAAATGTGTTCCTTATAAGCTGAGCAGGAAGGAATACAGTTCTTCATTTTCTGTGTTCCCATCCATATACTGTCCTGATCATCCTTTTCTGTGTTCCCAATGGCATTCTGCACTGAAATGCTCAACGTATTTTTGGAGATTATATTCTTCATTGTTAATTATGGGATTTATACAAATACATATTTTAATTACTAGAAAATTCTGAGATGTTATGCTATGAAGGCTTTGTTTTCAACTAAAATGATCAACTGAAATATCTGTTTTTAATTTATATAGAACAAGAAAATATCCTTAAAGAATTGTGTATACTCATTAATTCAACTTCATCACCTCACACTCAAACCTGACTCTGCTGTGGTCTGATTTTCATCTTCATGATTCCACTGATTTGCAGTTTATGATATTTCTAGTGCTCTACTTGTTACTAAATTCAACATCAATATCTTGATTAAACTTCCATTTTTCTTTGCATTATTAACCATGCTTTTCTTTTAAACTAAACTTATTTTAGGTTGTTTTAAACTTACAGAAAAATTTAAATATGGTGCAGAGTTATCATCGATCCTGCCCTCAGCTAGCCCTATTATTACCATCTTATATTAGTAGAGTGTATTTTTTACAATTAGTGAAATAACATTGATAGTTTATTATCCCCAGTTGTATATTATTCAGAAATTTTTAGTTTTCCTCCTAATATTCTTCTTGTACTCCAAGATCCAATCCAGGATATAACATTACATTAGCCATCATGTGTTTATAGGCTGCTTTTAACCTTAAAAGTTTCTCAGACTTCTTTCATTGTCTTCAATTATCTTGGCATTTTTGAGGACTACTACAGACAGTTTGTAAAATGTTCCTCTATAAGTATTTTTCTGATGCTTTTCGCATTATTACAGTAGGTTTACATGTTTTGGGGAGTAAGACCACAGAGGAATAATACCATTTTTATTGCATCATATCAATAATACATATTAGCAACATGACATCACTGTTATGGATGACTTTATTCATGCGATTGGGATAGTATTTTTTATGTTTCTCCACTGCCAACTTAATCTTTTTTCTTTTCAAAAATCCCTCTTTCCATACTGTACTTTTTAAAAGGGAATCACTTTGCAAAGCCTACACTGAAAGAGTGGGAAACCATGAGGTCAGATTATCTACTTGAAATTATTGTGTGAGAGATTTTTCTCTTTCCTCTTATTTACTCAATCATTTATTTATATGAATATTGACTTCTGGATATTTATTTTATACCTTGGATTATAATCCAAATCTGAGCTCATCTATTTTGGTAATTTTTGTTTTTTAATTACTAATTCAATATCTTCATTTGTATAGGTCCATTCAGATCTTCTATTTACTGAAGTCAGTTTCAGTAGCTAGCATCTTTCAAGAAATGTCTCCATCTCATCTAAATATTACATGGTTTTTATAGTATTCCTTTGGATTTTTAATTTCCATAATGTTTATAATAATGCCTCCCTTAATTATTTTTTCTAGTAATTTGAATTAATTTTCTCTTTTTTTTCTGGGTCAATGTAGATAAATGTTTGTCAATTTTGTTTAGCTTTCCAAATAAACAGGTTTTGGTTTTATTAATTTTGTTTTTGCTTTCCTATCCTCTATTTTATTAATTTGCAGTCTAGTCTAGTCTTTAAAATTTACTTCCTTCCACATGTGTAGTTTTCTCTTCTTTTGTGATTCTCAATGTGGAAGTTTAGTTTATAGATTTGAGATCTTCATTTTTCCTTAACACAAGCATTTGCAATGATAAATTTCCCTGTAAAAACTGCTTTAGAGGTGTCATGAATTTTCACATTTTGCCACTATTTCTATTAAAATAAAAGTTTAAATTATGAAAGCATCAAAGTATTATTTCCTCACAGTTTGGTTGACTTATTGATTATTGTGGTGGTATGGTGTTTACTTTTGACATATTTGTGAGTTTCTGAAATTGTTTTTGCTACATAGTTTTAATCTTATCTCATTGTGGTTGAAGAATATAATTGTATTATTCATATCCTTTTATATGTATAGCAATTTATGGTCAGAGTGTTATTATCTAGGCCTGCCTCAAGACACATGAATGGACTTCTCTACCTATAGGTCCCTGTGCAGGAACAACTGCTCTCAGGCCATAGCTGAGATAGAAGAGACTGGAGAGGCATTACATGGTTACTTCAAAGCTGAAACAAAGGCCTATTACCCAAGGCATGAATGGACATGATTTCTTCTGGTCCTTTGGCAGGTGGTTATATTTGCAGGACTGAGCCCAAACAAGGTTGTAACTTAGTCTATAGTGAGATGAGTCATTTCCAGGCCTGTTACCAGGACTGTCTTCAGCAAGCCTGTCCCCTAGATGCAGGCCTGCCATCTCAAAAGATCCCTCCTTAATTTAGGACTCCAATAGAGTTTTGCAGCATCCTATCTTAATCCAAAAGCTTTTTCAAAGGAACTTTTGTATATATAAAGTGCTCCTATTTCTCCACATCCTCTCCAGCATCTGTTGTCTTCAGATTTTTTTAATGATCGCCATTCTAACTGGCATGAGATGGTGTCTCAATGTGGTTTTGATTTGCATTTCTCTAATAACTAGCGATGATGAGCATTTTTTCATATGTTTGTTGGCCACATAAATGTCTTCTTTTGAAAAGTGTCTGTTCATATACTTCACCCACTTTTTGATGGGGTTGTTTGTTTTTTCTTGTAAATATGCTTTAGTTCTTTGTAGGTTCTGGATATTAGCCCTTTGTCAGATGGGTAGCTTGCAAAAATTTTTTCCCATTCTGTTGGTTGCCAGTTCATTCTAGTGATTGTTTCTTTTGCTGTGCAGGAGCTCTGAAGTTTAATTAGATCCCATTTGTCTATTTTGGCTTTTGTTTCCATTGCTTTTGGTGTTTTTGTCATGAAATCCTTGCCTATGCCTAGGTCCTGAATGGTATTGCCTAGGCTTTCTTCTAGAGTTTTTATGGTGTTAGGTGTTATGTTTAAATCTTTAATCCATCTGGAGTTAATTTTTGTGTAAGGTGTAAGTAAAGGGTCCAGTTTTAAGTGCTCCATTTTATACAGAGGAACAGAGTACCAAGCTGGATTATAAAGAAAGCAAGACTATGGTAGATGGTTGATTCTCAATCATCAGCTTATAAATAGTAAAGATGAAGATCTTAGTCTTCATTTGTTTGCCATTAAAAAAAAGAAACTCTCAAGTTTGCTCAGAACTTAGGGATTCAGATGAGACAGGAGATTTGTAAATTATGGAGTCCTGTTTAAATGATTACACATGTTTAAAAAGTCCATCTATATATTAGAAAATAAATTCAAAGAAACATTTCAAAAGATGAGAAAGAAAGTAAATCATGATTAAAATATAAAATAAAAAAGTGTACACATAGAAGATACATCCAGAAGACTGTCAAAATTTTAAAAAGGTGGAGGCAGCGGAGAGAAAAAGAGAAGAAAAATTGACATCTTTTTAAGTAAAAATAAAATAATTTTTTGGCTTTTAAATATATTTATATCTTAGGCTCAATTCCCTTAGTAAATGAGGATATATTTTCAGAAGTTTAAATATAAAAAGATTATATTAACATTTTTCAAAGAGGAAACGAAAACTGTAAAAGAAAACTTTAAAAAAGTGAGAATTAAAACAGTCCCAGAATCCTTGACTACTATATAGATGGGAGATAAATGTAATCATGCTTAGAAAATCATTTTCAAACAGCATAACTGTATTAGTCTGCTAGGACCACTGTAAAATGTCACGAAGTAGGCCAGGCACAGTGGTTCATGCCTGTAATCTCAGCACTTTGGGAGGCCAAAGCAGGCGGATCATGAGGTCAGGAGGTCGAGACCATCCTGGCCAACATGGTGAAGCCCTGTCTCTACTAAAAATACAAAAATTAGTTAGACATGGTGGCGGGTGCCTGTAATCCCACCTACTTGGGAGGCTGAGGGAGGAGAATTGCTTGAACCCAGGAGGCAGAGGTTGCAGTGAACCAAGATTGAACCACTGCCTTCCAGCCTGGGCAACAGAGTGAGACTCTGTCTCAGGGGGAAAAAAAAAAAAGAAAGAAAGAAAGAAAGGAAAAGAAATAAAGAAATATCCCAAAGTAGTTGGCTTTATTGTCTCAATGTTTTGGAGGCTGGACATTGGAGATCAAGGTGTCAGTGTGGTTGCTTCTTTATAAGGGCCGTGAGAGAGAATCTACCCCATTCCTCCTGCCTAGCTTCTGGTGGTTTTCTGGAAATTTTTGGCCTTCCTTGGTATATAGAAGCATCACCCTGCTCCCTGCCTTCATCTTTACACAATGTTCTCCCTGTGTACATGTCTGTTTATTTATATGAGATTCCTATATAAGGATAGTAGTCATATTGGATTAGGAGCTCCCTCTAATG